GTTTTAGATAAAATAAAATGAATTTTTGTTAATTATTCAATAACTATAAGAAATATATCCCACAAATTATATATATTTGTTATCAGAAGAAAATAACAAATTATTTTAGGTCATAGCCAACTATGGTTTCCATTTAAAAAAATAAAATTACGTCTAAAATCTCGAAAATAAAAGATGGAAAAAAAATTCTACCTACGCCACCGAATTCTTCGTAAAAAGTTGCCCATATAATGTTTTATTTATAATATTCCATCTTTGATAATAAGTGAGATATTCGCGATTGTCGTTTTCGCAAAATTTGCAGTTTTTGCCGATAGACGATAGCTGTTGGGAGTTTTCGGCATTAACATTTTCTCGAAAAACGAGATCATGACACGTAAGCTACTTTTTTCTATCTCTTTTAGTTTCGGAGATAGCCTATGCGGACATCGAAATTGGGACACCCTGTAAGGTAAAACGCCAGTAATTGACCGTTGGTCAGTGTTTGACCGTTTTTGTAAAAAAATGTAAAAAATAAGGATCCAAGGAATATCTAAAAAAATATAAATATATCCATAAATAGCCACCAGTCTCCTCTCCACTCCCTAGTACACAAAAAGTCCACGACCATACCGTTCTTGAGTTTTTGTTGTTTAATTTCACACTAACTGCCAGCCTATTCGCATCGTGCTAAAAAGCGTAATTTTTATGTTTAGAAATTCGCCCAAACAGGGTAGTACTATTCAGCCGTACTTGCATGTATGATGCTTTTTTTTTGTTTGCCAGTGATTTAATAATGTTTTCTAGTGGTGATATTAAAAAAATACCGCTTTAATTAATTGTTCGTTGAAATAAGCCGGTCAATGACTGGTAGTTCTAAATTTAATTCAATATTAGTGTTTGAATTGGTTGTTTTATAATCTCACAAGGATTTATATTTGATTAATAAAATGGAAAAATATGTAATACCTGTTTTTAAAACTTACATCTTCCCATTTAAGTTGTTTAGTATTAGACCAAAACTTTTATGCTTTAAAAGTGAGATACAATCAGTTTAAATATGCGATCAATTACTGGTTCCTCTTTTGGTCATTTATAGGACTCAAACACTCAAAACTGAGTTTTTTAACCGATTTTAAATTTTATAAATATTTAAGCGTAATATAAATATAAGTGTAAATGTTTGATTCTTTTCTATTTTTTTAAACCTTTTTTATAACAATAAAAGTAATCGACCGCACTTAAGCAGTAATGAGTCTGTAAAATTAAAATGATAAAAGGTTGGTCAAACGCTGACTCTTATAGTGGTCAATTATCAAAAAATGGAAAATCTATATGGAAAATTTAGCAAATATGAATCAGGTTAACATTTTTTCAGTACCAATATGACAACGAAGCCTAAGATTAAAAATAGTGAAGAAGATCTTCAAAAGACTCTCGATGTAAGAAGTAGGGGTTTATCTTATGAAAAAGCAACTAACATGTTTAACATAATAATTGGAATTAATATAAACGTGTATGTAACATATAAATGAAACACAATCAGATGGATATCTTTACACGTTAAGGACAGGAATAACAGAAAGGAAAAATTAGCAACGCCGGGACTCGAACCCAAGTCTCCCGTTTGCTAATTTTTTCTTTCTGTTATTCCTGTCCTTAATGTGCAAAGGTATCCTTCCTTCTGGTTGTGTTTCATTTAAGATGTTTAACGTTCCAAAGCAAAATCTTATTTATAAAGAAAAAGGAAAAACACCAGTGCAGAGGAAAATGGGCCTACCAGCATTTTTAAATTCTGATGAAGAAAAACCGCTGGTTGAATGGTTGTTTCATTTAGCAGATAGGGGTTTTCCTGTTTCAAAAACCAAGTTGGAAAACACAAAATTTGGGTGAAAAGTTAAGTCAAGGGCATTTTGCTCCTGTTTTAAAAGATGTTCTTAAAGAGTCAAAAAATATAAACATTTTTTTGTGAACAAAATAGTATGAAAAAATAATGAAAATGAATATTATATTAAGAATCGGTCAAACATTGACGGTTTTAAGGTCAAACACTAGATATCAAAGTGGCCAAACACTAAATGCGAAATACTGGTTTCCTTTTTAATTTTTAAAAAGTATTACTTCATGATGTTATATTTTATATGTAGGGTAAGTAACTTTAAATGAATCAGATGTGTTGTGTATTTGATCATATTTTGATCATTTTATGTAAAGGCAGAGGGATCTACAAGTAAAATAATATGGCTCGGTCAAACACTGACATTAAAAAATCCTTAACAGGTCAAACACCGGTGCGTTTACCCTACTCTTTTTGAACAAAAAATAGTTGGTCACCTTAATACATATATATTATCTCCTATATCGCTAACTCCCTATCTAAGCAATGAGTGGCGAGTGTTTCCATCAAAGGCAGCCGGAATGATATATGTTTTGTCTTTGTCGTTTCAAGATACAGATACATCTGACAAGAGAGGCAAATACATATATATCTGCACTCTAGTCTTTACACTCTTTTGCTGCCTTAGTCAGCGATATAGGAGATAGTATATATATGTTAATAGTTAATGCCATTATTGAAATAATTATCATGGGTCGTCAAAACGGGCAAACAAGTAACGACGTTCGGAAATTGGTTATCCTCCATTACGAAAACGGCGAAAGCCTTCGAAAAATTGGTGAAATTGTGAACCGAAGCCACTCTACAGTTCAATGTATAATAAACCGGTACAAAAAAACTGGTGAAACAGTCAATAAAAAGAAGGAAAGTTTGAGTAAAATATTTACCGCAAAAGATGAACGTTGAATTTTACGAAAAGTTAAAGCTGATCCTAAAATTAGTGCGCCAAAACTAGCAGCAGAGGTTGAAAATTATTTAGGGAAAAAAGCAAATCCAGAAACAATTCGCATTATTTTAAGGAAACATAATTTTCATGGCAGAGTAGCCAGGAAAAAGCCTTTCATAAGTAGCGTTAATCGTGCTAAAAGGGTAAATTTTGTTAAAACATACCAAAACAAAAGTAATGACTTTTGGAAAACAGTCATATTTTCAGACGAGAGTAAATTTAATATTTTTGATCCTGATGAGAGTTAAAACCTAAAAATTTACGATCAACTGTAAAACATAGGTTCTGTGTTAGTTTGGGGCAGTATGTCGGCAGCAGGAGTGGATAACCTACACTTTATAGATGGTATTAAGAACCAATACATGTATTTGGATATTTTTAAAGAAAACTTAAAAGCAAGTGCGGAAAAGTTAGGAATTTTGGATCAATTTAGCTTTTATCAAGATAATGATCCTAAGCATAAAGCTTATAAAGTAAGGTCTTGGCTACTTTATAACTGTCCCCATGTTCTTGAAACACCACCCCAGTCTCCAGACATAAATGTTATCGAAAACTTATGGGATTACATGGATAAACATGTCCGCAAATGCAAAATTTCCAATAAGAATTCTTTAAAAGAAACTCTTTTAAATGCCTGGAACTCTATAACCCCTGAGTACTGTGCAAATTTAGTAAATTCTATGGCAAGAAGATTGAAAGATGTAAAGAATGGTACTAAATATTAATTTACTTTGATGTTTATGTTTAAGATCGTTTGTATAGTTATTTTTCTTATTGTATGAGTTTCGATTTGAGGTTTATTTTGTTAGATGAATTAAAACATATAATTTCAAAACTTAAAAGGTTGTTTGATCAGTTCTTTTATATTTTAGTTAAAAAAAAGGGCAAACAATTAGAAAAGATAATATAAACGATTTTATACGTCCAGGCTAATACATTCCAGAAGAGTATGAGTTAGTATGAAAACTATGTCATTTTAAATGAAACACCCTGTAGAAGTATTCATTTCAGTCCGAAAAATAATCAATAAAATCCTCTATGTTTTAGTGAATATTATTTTATTTAAATACTTTTTTTATAAAATAAAATTTTTAAAATAATTGTTTGAGGATGATAGTAATTTGAACCAAAGGGGAAAAGCTATACGCTTATGCGTTTAAAAAAGGAAGCACGAGCTGTACAACTTTCCACCCATGGGCCGAATTTCCTCAAAAATCACGAAAGTTATATGAAAGTTAAAAAAAAAAGTGTATAAATTTATTAAAAGTAAAGAGATCGAAATCAGCCATCTTAGTTCGGAGGAAAGTAAACACCACAGATTCGTCGTTGAAGGGAAGCACGCCCGTTAGAGATTCGGTAATTAAAGATTGATTAATCGTGAGGGGGGGCGACGCGGGGCTATTTCCAGAAACAGATCGAATAATCCATAATCGGCGCATAAATTAACCGAAGAGAAACCCATCGACGACGACGACGACGATTTCAATGGAGTTTTTCCAATGGGATTCGAAAAAGAGCCCGAAACACGTCGATACGTCAAGTTATCAATCCGCACGACCGGCATCCGAGTCCGAGAACAATGAACTTTACTAACCGACGACCGACGACCGCCATTCTAGTTCGTGTCCGCCGATGCCACACGTAGCGAAATTAGCGACATTGCGGTCTTCGTCAAAGGTCGCACCAACAGAACAAACCGAAAACGTACTTCCACAGCCTCCCTTCTCGAAAATTTCATCCAGAGGGTGATGAAATCCCGAAAAAAAAAAGAATCCGAATCCGTTTTCGTAGAAACAAAACCGAAAACGTCTATATAAAAATACTCACCGTTTTTTGTTTTAAAAAAAAATGAGGGCGAAACAAATGAAAATACACGGCTTGCTCCGTTTACGGAGAACAACACATACACACAACACCGCCGAGACCGCCGCCGCCGCCGCAGCTCAGTAATGAGGGAAATGAGACTATTTAATTGGTTAAAATAATACGGTTCGGCGTTCTGAACTGTCGAAACGCGACCAATCAGGTGATATCTGGCGGATGCATGTCGGAAAATCCGATCGTAGATTGTAAAAAAAACGCCCGAAAAGCGATTTTCGCCGTGCGTAAACAAAAAAAAACAACACTCTCGGATGCGTTAAAACTTGTATTTTACCTACTAGGGGGGAAACAACTTACCATGGATACCGAAAGTCTGCCGTGTGTCCGTGGGTTCGGGTTCACTCCTACCGAAAAAACTTTGCGTCCCGAGATATCTAAAATTCCGGTCACATCTATCTATTCTGCACACGCGTTCTGTTTGTCGCGGCGCACTTCTCACACCATTTTCGCGATTTTTACTTATTCTAAATGGCTAGATGTTCGGTGTTTACCGAAAATCACTCGTTTCAAATTCGCGTAGCTACTGCATGTAGAAATGTGTACTCCATTTTATCATTACGCTTCTGTCTGACGGTGGCGACACCTGTGGCGCGACATTTAAAAATCGTTTACTAAACTAGAACCGGCCGGTTTCCAACATTTCTAATTTATTTATTCCAACGAGGAATTTCGTTTGGAAATCTTGATTCATTAAAATCCCTTTTTTTTATTATAAGTATTTATTGAATATTTTTATTTTTTAAATTAATATTACAATTATAATAAAATGAATTTTATTTTATAATAAGTATAATAACATAAGCACAACTTCAATTTGTTCATATCCCGTCACATAAATAACATCACAAAATTATCGAACATCAATAATTAAGAAGTGTTGGAGTAATTGGTTAAAATTGATTAAAATTATAAATCATTTAAATTGACCAATTTAAAACCATAATGTAATTATTAAAAAAATATAACCAACTGATTTTTGTTGTTATATTTATTCGTAAATTTAATAATGTGTATGAAAATATTTAAAAGATTTAATTTACATTAAATAGTTAATTGATATTCTACGTAGTAGGTGGAACATTAAAAAATATTCAGAATAAATGCTTCAAGGTTAAAAACGATGAAAATGTTTAAAGAAATAGTACACTTTTATTGAAATGTTCTAATTTAAAACTATATCCTGGAACGATTTTTTTAGTTATTAGTTCCTGAAGTATATGCAACCAATCATACAGCATACAATGAAAAAATTAAAAGTTACCGTCAATCTGTATAATTCAGGCACTTTATACAATGCCTAGGTAATGTATAAAATACTTGGGGTGTCTAGGCAATGTATGCAATATTATGATGATGAAAAAATGTATACAAGTCTTAGGGATTACATAGCGTACCTGTTGGTCGACCAGCAATGTGTAAAATAAATAGATTTTGGTCTATATACATCAATTTTTACTCATAATAAACTTTTTTTAATCTATAAGTTATTGTACAAAAATTGTTACCTAGTACCTTTCTATAACTATAGTAAAATCACAATTAAATTACATTAAACTTGAAATTTTTCTGGGTTAACTAACATAATGTCATTTGCTTATAATTTATAAATAATCAAGTAATAAGTATTTATTTTTTATACAAATACAAATATCTTTATTTACTGTAACAACAAATTTACAATAAAATGTCCACAAACAAGAAAAACAAAAAAATGTATTATCAATGTTAATTCTTATCAATTTCATTCACTGCCTCCCTAATAAATTCCTCAAAAGTGTAATATGCACTTTCAATTAGGTGTTTTTTTATAATTATATTGAATTTACTTCTTGACATTGCCGCAATGGAGGGTGGAACTATGTTGAAAAATTTTGGACCCCAATAGTCCATCGATTGTTGTGTTCTTGAGAATCGGTGATATGTTGTAGCAAGTTGATAGCAAGATCTAGTTGCATAACTATGTGATTCGCCGAGTGTTTGGAAAGTATTCCTATTATCATACACGTACATTAACGCCGTATGTATGTATATACTTGGTAGGGTAAGTACTTCTTCTCTAATGAAATACTCCTTACAGCTATCACGCCGTCGCAGATTACAGAGAGCCCTAATTGCTGACTTTTGTATTTTAAATATTCTATGGAACTCAGTTGACTGTCCCCAGAATAGAATTCCGTATGATGCCACGGACTGGAAGAGGTTGAAATACGACATTTTGGCGGCTTGGTGTGTAGCTATGCTTTTCAAACGTCTTATGGTGAAAACCGCTGTTGATAACTTCTTTGATAGGGCCTCAATATGATGGTGCCAATCCAGCCGTCCATCGAGATGTAACCCGAGGAACCTCGCCTTACCGACACGATATATGAGTAATATATATATATGAGTATATGAGTAATTACTAACCAAAACGTACAAAATGTAGGAAAACTACTTGTATTTAGAAGAATTATCGTTAATTTATACATGGCCTACAATGAAACGAGACAGTGCACAATAATAATAATAATATCTTTATTTCCATAGGCTGTACAACATCAGAAATTGTCATTACGCTAATGATTACAAATGATAGTCGGTACAATACGTACTTTCGTCATCTCACAGCGAAAATACAAAAAACAAAATACACGTTTTGTTTCCTTTTGAAGTGCGTTGTTCAGTTTTTTCTATTTGCTCATTCTGTTTCTCAACGTTACGCAGAACTATCTGTCTGACAGTATCTTGCCGATATGTTTTATAATGGTCTGGCATGGTACGATTCGTAATTTAGATATCTAGAAACCTTACGAACATCAAGATACCCTTTATTCACCCACATCTTTATTTCAAAAAGTCTGCATAATTCGGTAGGGTCACCTGTGTAACGTTGAAACAATCATGTACAATGAAACACTATGATATTTCTACAACACGACGTTGCCAGATAGTGTAGTACCTATATCGTGTAAGAACATGCTCATAAACTTCCCACGCCTGCCCAGTTTGCGAGCACCCCGCTTGGAAGAAGACCTGTTTGTGGGCATTTTTTGGATTTTCATATGAAAAAGTATGAATTCTTAATCATCTTTGGCGATTTTTTAGTAATTTATATGTAGAAAATAATTTCGCATTGTTAATGAATTATGCAGACTTTTTGAAATAAAGATGTGGGTCAATAAAGGGTATCTTGATGTTCGTAAGGTTTCTAGATATCTAAATTACGAATCGTACCATGCCAGACCATTATAAAACATATCGGCAAGATGCTCTCAAACAGATAGTTCTGCGTAACGTTGGGAAACAGAATGAGCAAATAGAAAAAACTGAACAACGCACTTCCGCAGAGGCCAGTTCTTGCGCTCAACATAAATGAATTGAGACCACTGAAGATTAACTTCTTTAATAACCTGAGTGGATAAGTGCAATTTTTCTCGGTTTTTTTCTTATATAATCTTATGATATGTTCATCAGATAGAAGAAAATGTTCTCTATCAAAATATGCAAAAAAAAAAATATGCGTTCCATTTAAGATAACAATGTTATATAATTATTTATAGAATATTTTTATTTTTTAAATTAACATCACAATTATAATAAAATAAATAAATACTTACATAAATGAATTTTATTTTATAATAACACAACTTGTTCATATCCCGTCACATAAATAACATCACAAAATTATCGAACATCAATAATTAAGAAGTGTTGGAGTAATTGGTTAAAATTGATTAAAACCATATTGTAATTATTAAAAAAATATAACCAACTGATTTTTGTTGTTATATTTATTTGTAAATATAATAATGTGTATGAAAATATTTAAAGGATTTAATTTACATTAAATAGTTAATTGATATTCTACGTAGTAGGTGGAACATGAAAAAATATTCAGAATAAATGCTTCAAGGTTAAAAACGATGAAAATGTTTAAAGAAATACTACACTTTTATTTAAATGTTCTAATTTAAAACGATATCCTGGAACGATTTTTTTAGTTATTAGTTCCTGAAGTATATGCAACCAATCATACAGCCTACAATGAAAAAATTAAAAGTATGTGTTACCGTCAATCTATATAATTCAGGTACTCTATACAATGCCTAGGTAATGTATAAAATACCTGGGGTGTCTAGGCAACGTATGAAATAGTATGAAGATTATTGTACTTTAGATACTTTACCTAGGTAATGTATACAATTCTTAGAGATTACGCAGAGTATCTGTTGGTCGACGGGCAATGTGTAAAATAAAGAATGCAGGAAGTTAGCCCCCCATTTTTTGATTTTTAAATTTTTTATTGTTGTTGCATTTTTGGAAAAATCAAATTTTCTTTGCTGTCTGGTTTGTTCTAGTTATTGTTCTAGAAAATCAAAATTATGGGTTACAGCATTACGAAGTTATAACTAAAAATAGGTTTGGCCGCCGAAATGTCTAGTTGATTGCTGTGACCATAATTTTTCTATTATCAATTTCATATTACAAATATATACTTATTATAGCTAACACAATCTGGAACAGCTATTATTTTCACTAGAACAACTCTCTAAAGGGTACTTCACTCTTTGAAAATTAAACTTTTTGGTAGTTTCAGTCAGTAATTCTTGTGTCAGCGGTTTTATATTACACAATAAGAATTAAAAAACATAGAACAATCTAAAATAACTCAAACTTTGCCGATTCAAATTGTTCCAGATGTGTTTTACGTTTAACACGGACATTAATTTTGCAAAATCACATATTTTTTGTTGCTCTAAATTGTTCTTGATGTTCTAGGTACTTAAAATGTTTATTTAATCACTGCGGCTTTAGTTCTTTTAAAGTTTCATATTAAAAATTAGTACTTACAACAATTAAAACAATTCAGAACAGCTGTTATTTTCACTAGAAAAACCTTAAATTT